AAGAAAGAAAGAAAGAAAGAAAGAAAAGAAGGAAGGAAGAAAAGAAGGAAGGAAGAAAGAATGAATGAAAGAGAGAAGAAGAGAGTGAAAGAGAGAATCTGAGAGGATATGACTGATTGCAGTCCCTAAGACATTGTGATCCCCAGAAGTGAGGACAAGAACTAAGGGTGTGACTAAGAGTCAGACAAGGTATGACCACTAGGATGCCAGCAATGAGCAACTGGCCCAAGAAGAAGAAATTAGATGGAATGGATAAAGTAATTATATAATGGGATATAATGAATTAAAATTTTTACTGAATAAATTCATTAAAGAAACATGTTCAAGAACAGCTAGAGGAGGTACAAATATTAACATGAGGGTGATGCCAATAAGCAGTTAGACAATGAGTATTCTAAATATGTATTATAACCATAGAACTCCCAAGCTAGAAAGAAGAAAACAAGCATTTATTAAGCATTTAGATGTTCGAAACAGCCCCAGAAGGTAGGTGCTATTACGATCCCCATTTTACAGTTGAGGAAACTGAGGCAGGTGGAGGTTTATTGTTTTTTTTTAAGTGACTTACCTGGGAGTCACACAGCTAGTATCTGAGGCTGGATGTGAATACAGGTCTTCCTGACTCCAGGCTGAGCATTTTATTATACCACTTAGCTACCTCAGATATCATCTTATCTACTGTTCCCATTTAATCAAGGTGAAGATCACACAGCTGGTTAGTGATGGGGTAGGAATCAGAACTTAGATCTCTATTCAGTTTTATTTCTCTTATACCAAAGCTAACATTCTGATACAGGAGAAAATAAAAGTATATTGAGAAGACAAAGTATGATACAGTGACCTGAGCACTGCAGAAGATGTGGGTTCAAAATCCAGCTTTCTTCCCATATGCATTACCTTAAAATCAACACTCAAATCTCTGGGGCCATTATTTCCTTGCCTGTAATATAAGGGGACTGAACTATTCTAAGGTCCTTTCCAGCTTTAGATACCATGATTCTTGAGGATGCATAAATTTGAGCATCTTCTGCTAAAGGTTGGGGACTAAAAGTTTGGCTGACCCCCAATTCAATTTAATTCAAACATTAAAAGAGGATGCATTGCCATTTGCTTGCCCAATGATTACTGAATCTTTCCGTTTGACTTGCATTTGAAACCTCCTCTATATGTTATCTCCCATTATTAAAATGTGAGTTCCCTGAGATGAGGAACTGCTTTGCCTTTTTATTTGCAACTTCAGTCCTTAACATATTGTAAGCCCTTAAGCCACAATTGCTTTTTTCACCCAGAGACAGTATGTTGTAGTGGATAGAGAGTTACCCTCACATCAGGGCGACCTGGGTTCAAGATCCATTTCTGAAACTGTGTGTGTTCCTGGACAAGTCATTTAACTTCTTGGTGCACTAGCCATCACTCTAAAACAGAGGTTCTTAACTTTTTGGTGTGTCATGTACTAGTTGGGCAGTCTGGTAAAGCCTATAGATCCCCCCTTTGCAGAATCATGTTTTTAATGCATAAAATAAGTTACATAGGATTACAAAGGGAATCATTTATAATGAAAAAAGATGTAACTTTTTTCCCTATTCAAGTTCACTAACTACCTGATGCCTTTCCATGGACTCCCTGTTAAGAGCCCTTTGGTCTAAAATAAGTTACAGAGCAATTGTCTACATGCATGGGTAGAAGGAATTTTCTTGCCAGGAGCTGCTGCATCTGCCAATGAAATCACATATCAAGACCCTCCTTTTCCCCTAAAAATGTGTAAGGTACTACAGGTACTAGGCTAGGTACCAGGAGTACCAAGACTAAGTGGCCTTGCTCTTATGGGACTCACATTTTACAGGGGATATAGAACATTCACATAAGATAATTTAAGGGCAAAAACACAAATAACTAGGGGAATGAGAAAAGGTTTCCCATAAGAGGAATTCAATACAACTCAGCAAATATTTATTAAGGACTTACTATGTGAAGAATATTGTGCACAATACTAGGGGAAATTTTAAAAGACCAATTTTCCTGAAGCTTGCAGTCTTTTGGGGGACTAACATCTACCAGGGGTGGGGAACCTCTGGCCTCAAGGCCACATGTGGCCTTTTAGGTCCTTACATTCAGCCCTCTGACTGAATCCAAATTTCACTGTTCTGTGAAGTTTGGATTCAGTCAAAGGGCTGTACTTGAGGACCCAGAGGGCCACGTGTGACCTCAAGGCCAGAGGTTCCCCATTTCTGATAGACAAAGAAAGCCCTGCCTCTTTAGCAAGGGCTTGGCTGGTGGTAGGAAGAATACAAGTAAAAGGGGTGAACCTTGCCCAAAAAGCAGAATGTTTAGCATACCGGGCAATTTCAAGAACCCAAAAGAGCCCCGGTCCATACTCAATGGCTACAGAGGGGAGCAGTTTCATAGAGAGATTGGAGGAGTTCTAAAAGTTCCCCTTGCCCAAATATATTTTCCCCCTGACTTGCCATGTATTTAAGGTGAAGCTTTTGAACAATTCTTTCACTCACTGGATTGTATCCAAAAAATGCAAATATATTTTATTACCTGGAAGACATAACAGATTAACCTACCAGCAACCACTCAATTTCCAAGGATTGGAGATCAGAGAGTTAGTTCTTCAGGAGTCTAAAGCTGGAAGGAATTTTAGAGATCATTTAGTCCAACCATCTCATTTTAGAGGTGGAGAAACTGAGGCCTAGAGCACTATTAGTTATCAGAGGGAGTCATCCCCAGTTGTCTGTGTCTGACCACTGGACCCAAGTGGCTCTGGAGGAGAAAGTGAGGCTGGTGACCTTGCACAGCCCTCCTTCACTTAAATCCAATTTGCTTGCAAGTCATGGCATCATCTTCCTGATGTCATAGTCCTCTTTGAGAAACAAAGGACAAACAACAACAATAGTTATCAGAAATGCCAGTACCTTTGAAATGCCAGAGCTGAACCCCAGAGTGTTAGAATAAAGTAAGGACAAGTGTGGATATTCAAATATCCTAATGACTTATGATCTCATTTCTATCAAGGATGCAAACCAGAACACATCTATGCATGCCCATCCTGTGCCATCTCTTGTCTATGTCCTCCCACATGTCTGCCACAGAGAATTTACCCAACATACTAAAGACCTTCCTCACTGATATGAGGAGGGTACCAGCAGAGCACACTGGCTATTCATCTGTCATCCCTCACTATCCAATTCACCCATCTCTTCCCATTATACACTTCCCTGATGACATCTTACTCCAGTTCTCCTTTGAAGTTCCTTATTGATTATACACTGCAGCCTGCTCATACCCATTACTTGCCTCGCCATTGCCCTCTGTGTGGTAGTCATTTTCAGTTTGGAATATGAAATCTTTTTTACTACCAACTGCGGAAAATGGGGGAGGGGGAAAGGGCTGGCTAGTAGAGCTTTCATTTCCCAGGGACAACAGGCCCCCAGTAAGAGGTGGGGAGACAGGGTGACCCTGAGCTACCCTGTGAGCACAGAGAGAGGCCTGAGGGAAAGGTACAATGGGTCCAAGGACCAAACTCACCCAAACAATTCTGTCATCCAGATTTGACCCTCAAGAAGGCCTTTCCATTTCCAAGGATTCTTGGACTGAGGTGTCTGGGAACCCTAGGTTCAGAGCCAGGAGGCTCTATTTAAAACAGTCCCCCAAAGTTTACTCCAGAAGACTTTGCCTTACAGACCTGGGTTTCTCCACCTGTCCCCCTACACTCCCCCCCCCCTTTCAGGTCCAGTTAATCCGGGAACCATTTAACTACTTCACCCTCGAGGGGTGGCACGTGCAACCAGGATAGTGCGTGGGGACAAAGGGAGTTTGCGGCTGCGGGGTGCACATCTTGGGGGGCTTAGGGGAATGGCTCTCCTCTTGCCTTGAGGGAGAAGTGAGCTTCTACCTCCCGCCTAGCCCCACCATAATAGTGGAGACCAGGTGGCCGAGACGCTTGTTCTGGGAAAGGGGTGGGACAGTGCGGACTGAAAGGGGCCAGTGGTGCTTAGGTGTAAAAGAAGAGATCCAGTGAGCGAGGAGTCAGTGCAAGCCAGGTCGGGATGGGAGGGGGCGGGGCGGCTGCAGAGCTTGGAACTCTGCTTCTTCCTCCGGGTCTTGGAGCAGCAGGCGCCTAGCCGGCCCCTTTAAGAACTGGGCTGGCTCTGAGCTCGTAACTTACCGCCTCGCCGGGGTGGGATAGGCTACTCGGCTGGCGAGGGAGGGCTGGAGCCGTCCTCCATCAGCAGCCTCGGGACAGAGAGAGGGAGAGGAGGAGGGAGAGGAGGGGAGAGCGCGCTGGAGCTGGAGAGGACTGTGGTGGCGGGGAGGGCTCGGCTGGGCTGGGCAGCGCAGGGGAGGGGAGAGCTAGCGCGGGGGCGGCGGGGGCGGAGGCGCTGGGGCCCGTGGCCGCTGGCTGCCGCTGCTGCTCCTTCTCTCCTGGCTAGCAGCAACCTGAGAGCCACTCGCGTCGCCTCCTGGGCTTTTTCCAGTTTCCCTGGGCCCGGCGGAGCCTTGCATGTGGTCAGTGCGCCGAGCTGAGCTCTTCCACGCGCGCCGTGCCCAGCTCCAGCTCCCGCTCCCGCCCGTGCACGGCCGCCCGAGGAGGTGGACCAGGGGCAATCGGTGCTTTGTCCCGGGGGCCCGTCCGGACCGAGGGAGCCATGCCCCGGCGTAGTATCGTGGAGGTGAAAGTCCTGGACGTGCAGAAGCGGCGAGTGCCCAACAAGCATTATGTGAGTGAGCGAGCGGGCGAGCGAGCTACATTGTCCTTTCACGGGGAGCCCCTTGCCCTCCCCTTGTTTTCCCTTCCCTTCTCTCCCCTCCCCGCGCCTCTGGCAGCTGGACTGGCCACCTCTGGATCCAATGTGATTGCTCCTTTTCTTCCACCTCTCACGGGTGGGTGGTCAGCCCTCTCCACTTGTGAGGGAGCCAACCCAGCCAAGATGTAAGAAAAAACACTGCACACGTCGGGCTGGCCGGCTCTTCCCGGGGCTGCTGGCTCGGGGGACTGTAGAAAATACCAAATGCCTTCCCTTTTCCTTTAGAGGTTTAAAACTTCGCCTGCCCTCTGCCCTCGGTTTGTGTCCCTCATTATCTCTCTGCCTTTCAGGCGGTGAGTGGCCTTTTGTTTTGCTGCTCGTGTGCTGAACATTACACAAGAAGTTTGGCTTGGGCTCGGGCTGGTACTGTTTTTAACATCATTGTCACTATTTTAAAAAAGAAAAGGAAGAAAAAGGGGCGGGGGCGGCCCCTGATAGCACTCAGTCTGCCGAGGGAGAGAATGTATAAGGCTGTTGTCCAGAGCAGATGCGAGTTAGCTTTCATATCTCTTTATTGTCTAGGGACTCTCAGGACAGCAAGTTTCTCCTCTCTACAGAAAGTTTGGTTCCTTAGGGTTTTGGAGGACTCAGCCCACTGTTATGAAGAAGCTGGCTGGCAGTGAGATATTGGCTTTCCCAAAAAAAAAAGACGGATTCACCACTTTTGGTTTTGTTTAAAGTAGAAACCTGTCCAGCAACTAATTTCCGCAACTATAAAATGAGGCTGATCCTTGGAAACATAGATTCGTAGAATGCTAAGAGCTGGGAGGGACCAGCCAGATTGTCTGGTTTAATCATAGTGTTTTAGAGAAGAGAAAACCGAGATCTAGAGAAAGGAAGTGACTTGATCAAGGTACCACAACGAGGCAGTGACAGAACTAGAACCAGAATCCTGGTCTTTAGGCTCTCAATTGGATGCTCTTTCCTTTGCCCCATGTTCATGCAATGTGAGGCTTGCACAATGTGGCTGGTAAAGGAGCACATAAAGTTTGGAGATTAGGGGAAGGTGGGTGGTGTCCTCCTAGGTCTGAATGTGGAAACTCTAAAGATCTTCAAATGCTACCCCACCATATATATGTGTATATGTATCTATGTATATATATGTGTGTATATGTGTGTATGTATGTGTGTATATAAACACATCTATCTGTCTATCATCTATCATCTCAATATTCAGTAGCAAGAACCTCTTGAATATATTTGAGACAGGATTAGGAATGACCTGAGATTGGCAGCCTTATAGGTGGACTCTACTTGATTTGAACAGGGACAGATGAAGTGGAAGGGGCTACAGGTTCTATCATCAATCTACAGGTTCCATCATCACCGTGAAGGACAATGGTCTGGCATCATCATGAAACATAGTAGTAATGGAATAAATACTATCTAGGAATTTTAAAAAGAGGATAAAACACATTGTATTAAGTTGGGGGGGAGGAGAGAGAGAGAGAGGGAGAGAGTGACAGAGAAGTAGAAACAATGGGCTATAGACTAGAGAAGAAGGGCGTTGGCTGAATAAATTTAGCTATGTTTTCTGAGTGAATGTATAAATTTTCTGCCTATATGTATATGATACCTATGTTTTTAATGAGAGTGCTTTTAAATTTGTTCAAGATTCTGAGAGGAAAAGGTAGGTGAATGTGCTTTAAGCTTTTTGGAATAAAGATAGTACTGTGTTATTATTGGCTGCAGAAATAATTTGGTCCTTAGCTAATTTAATTGAATTCAGGGAACATTTATTTAAGAGCCTACTATGAGCTAGACTTATTACTAAAGCCTTGTGGATACTGCTGACAAAAACCTCAGCAATCTCTGCCCTCAAGGGTAGTGAGTATCTACTTCCTGGACCTGTGGCATCTTTAAATAGATTTTAGCCCTATAATTCCAGCTTTAAAGTGAATTGTCTCTTTTAAAAAAATCAAATAATAGCCACTCCTGGTGTGGATGCTTGGACTAACCTGTGGCCTTGTAATTGCTTATTTGGACTTTGTGGATATTCGGATCAACCTGGCCACTACAGTTCTTTTCCTTGTTGTTTTTTTCCCCTGGTCTGAACTGGGTGAAATCCCCACACTTCTATTGTTCCTTTCTTTGCCTTTCCCCCTCATCAATCTGTAAAACAATCAGCCTTGGTTCCCAGCTTTAGCTAAGTCTTTTAGAAACTGGCCTAGAGATTCTGCTCCTTTATGACATCATCCTGTATCCAGAAGCTAAAAGATTTCTGGGTTTAGTGCCTTGCCAAGTTCCCCCAGCCTCTTGGAGGATGCTTGATCAATTAGATAGGATCTTTTTCCTAAGTCAGTCAACCTGTTATTAAGCACTTGGGAAAGATTTCAGTCTCTTTCTCGGATTTGCCTTTTAGGGTGTTGCTAACACCCAAGACAAACAGATTTAGTGCACACAGGAACTATCTTGGACGTGTATTTCATTTGGAGCTTGCCTTTCTCCATTTCGGTTTAGTAGCTCTTATGTTTTTAGGATCCTAGCTTTAGACCTGAAAGGGATGTCAGGGACTGTGTGGCCCAACCTACTCATTTTCCAAATAAAGAAATTGGACATACAGTTAGTGTCATAAAGGTCATATAGGTAGTGTCAGAAGTGGGATTTGAACCCAAGCTCTCTATTTCCAAAGCCATTAAGCTTTCCATTGTACTCCACTGGGCTAACAAGTCCTATTCACAACTCTTGGTTTTAGAAAAATGGAAAAAATAAGAGAATTGGGCTTCAATTGAATCCTGTGCCCAAGAGACAGGAAAATGATGCCCTATGATGGTTCTCTGAACATGAGGGGGGAAAAAACCTAACCTAGAGCAGGAAACACCCTAGACAGCCAAAGGCAGTGAATTATTTGGCATGTTACATTCCTGAGGTTGGTTTGGTTCTGGCCAAACAGCTAGAGTTTGAGTTTGGTACCAGGTGGGGTGGGGCCTCCCCTACAGTGCCCATTTACTACCAGCCCAAGAGTCTGGACTAGTCTCAGGTTCAATGTTGTTTTCTTTCTTTGTTGTACCCTGGTGTGATTCCAATATCCTCATGTGATATCTTGGAATTTTAAAAAATGCTCCCCCAAAATAGTACTTTTAAGTTATTTCTTCAAGAAGTGTGATTCTTGTCCGTGCTCTTTCATAAATTCTCAATATGCTGGAGGCTTTCCCCTAGTTCACAAAGAATAGAGGGTAGGTATGAGTGACCATCTGCACTAATGGAGGGAGGACTCACATCGTGGATTTATTGAGGCATTGCTTTCAAACTCAATAGAAAGAGGGATCACTAAACTGTACGTAAGGATCCCTTCAGATACATATTGATTAAGAAAACCAGATTAACATTATCTATGTCTTATTGCATTTTTATTTATTTTGTTGAATATTTCCCAATGTGGTTTGATATGATTCGGGCCAAACTCAGGAGTATTGAGTATTGACACTTCTGTATTAAGGTAATTTAAAAAGTATTAAATATATTCCACTAATGGCATAGTAGATGGACACTTAAGTGCCCAATGTCCTAGGTAACTCTAATACTATATAACTTGCAGAGAAGGTGCTAATCTTCATTGGCAGAGGGAATTTCCTTATCTGGGAATTATTGATGCCCATGAAATTACGATGAATCACCCAGGCCACAAATCATCTATACCAATACCAATTACAAGTCTATATCGCTTAGGTGTATGTATATATAGGGGTGGAAATAATTGTAGAGGAGAGGCAGTTAGGTGGTGCAGTGGATGGAGTGCTGGGCCGGAAGTCACAAAGACCTGAGTTCAAATGTGACCTCACACTTGAGGGCTGTATGACCCTGGTTAAGTCACTTAACCCTGTTTGCCTCAGTTTCCTCAACTGTAAAATGAGCAGGAGAAGGAAATAGCCAACTACTCCAGTATCTTTGTCAAGAAAACTCCAAAAGGGGTTTGAACATGCCTGAAAAAAAACAACTGAACAACAACAATGGTAGAAGAATTCTTGCTTAGAGTGTTACAAGTCCCCCAAAGTTGGAAATATTTCTGTGCCTCCATTTCCTCATCTTTAAAATAAGAGGAAGAGAGGAACTAGATTCATAGGATCATAGATTTAGAACTTGAAGAGACCTTACATGTCATCTAGGCCAACCTCCTCATTTTACAGATAAGGAAACTGAGACCCAGAGAAATAAAGTCATTTTCCCAAGGTCACACAGATAGTAAATGTCACAGCTGGAATTTAAAAGTGGCTAGCAATTATATAGTGCTTTAAAGTTTGCATGGGTTTCATACCTATTATCTCATTTGATCCTGATAACTACCCTGTAAGATTTGTTGTTGTTATTGTTATTGTTGTTGTTCAGTTGTTTTAGTCCTGTCCAATTCTTTGTGACTCCATTTGGGGTTTTCTTGGCAAAGATACTGGAGTGGTTTGCTATTTCCTTCTCCAACTCACCCTGTAATATAGGTGTTATTATTATTCCCATTTTACAGATAAGGAAGGTTGAGGTTGAGAAGCATTAAGTGACTTGTCCAGGATCACACAGTAAGTATCTGTGGCAGCCTTTGAACTCAGGTTTTCCAAGCTACAAGTCTAGCACTTTCTACCACCACACTTTGAACCCAGGTCATTTGACTCCAAGTTAAATTAAATCCATTAAATCATAGCTGTTTAATTAATCTCTTAGAGTTCTTCTAACTCTGGTGTTCTGGGTTTTTATGAATGAAGACTCTAGAATCAGTGAATTCAACCCCAGAGACCTCTGGGTAGAATGGTCTGGTTACAATGAGTAAGAATGGTCTTAGGTTACAAATTAGCAGATTTAATCCAGGAATCATAGGCCTCTTCTGGATCTGCCAGAAGCTAACTCAAACACTTGGAGAAGAGGGGATTTTAGAAGACAGAAGGGTTCTGTTCTCTCTCAGAAATTCAAGATGGCTCATGCATGCT